GAGGTAGAGATCTCCAAGGACAAGACCAAAAGGATATTTTCTCGTCCGGTTACAGAAGTGGTCCTGCTTCTATCTCCAAAGACTGATTCTTGTTGATTGATCTGGGGTTTAAAGGGGGACTGGCTGCACCCGTAGGATAGAAAACGGGGAAGTGACGTGGAAGAACGTGTCCATAGATTTAGTCCCTAATTTTGCTCTCAAAGTACACCAGATTGATGCATTTAACTTCAACATTTAAAAGAAATCTTCCCGGGGGAGCATGCCCCCGGACCACCTGCCCACACCCCCTGTTAAATTCTCTCACCCACATTGAGGATGCTTCCTACGCCCATGTTTTATTACATGCGTCAATTCAGGCAAATTGGGTCCAAATGTTATTGCATCTGTTAACATTAAAATCAATAAATATAGGCTGTAACTATTTTGCTCTAGGCAACTCAAGGGCTCAGATAATGTGATTAATATATGAATAATGGTCCAAAATAACTTTTTTGTTAAGTAACATACTTTCGTCGCCGGCTGGCCGATACATGCCGCGCATTAAGTGGGCCTGTCTGTCAATTAACCCCCGGGCCACCTTTTCCTCCCATTCCGCCCCTGATATGAACTATGGTAATTTATTCAAAAATGGACTATAGGGCAATTGAGATGTGATGTGCAAGAGATAAAGCAACTAAAATGTATAAGGAAAGACTGGAAATACTTTCAGTAGGTTCATGCTTCTAAACATTGCAGGACTAACTTGGGAGTGCATATATTTGAGTTTGAATCAAAGGCCTGCCATGAGATGAATCCCAAATGTTAAATCAGAAACAGCATCAAGCTGCTCATGCTTCTTTGGTTATCATGCTTTTTGATACCCACTCCACTTTATGGAAGTGCAAAACTGAATCTGTGGAAACATTTCTGAACTGACCCTGATGGAGGACGTTAAAGTAGAAAAGTTTCTTATTTTCTTATTTCATAATAAAAGTAGTTTGTATCAACAAGCAATTTGGCATATTTCATTGTGTCTATTGTTTGTGACTATGTGACTATGCACTGCAAAATGAGATGGTGCAGACATCTTTGATGCTGCATTGTTAGCTTCCTCTATCCTCTCTCTAATAATACTTTAACAGCTCAGGATAAAAAATGCTTCAAATAAGGAACACAGCAAGTGCACAGATAGGTTTCTTTTTATTGAAGCATCAAGCTCATAGCACAGATATATTAGCACATCTTGACCATCCAAAGAAAAGCAAAAGAAAGAATTAGAACAGCCAAGTTTCTCCTTCATTACATCCTGCAACTGCACCCTCTCTGACCCTGTGGAGGACCCCCCCGCCCCCCCTCGACAGAGAGATTCAGAGGAAGGGAGATATTACAGATCATCGTTTATTCCTCCATAACTTTCACGACAAAAACAAACATTTGGACAAAAGGGGAAGAGAAAAAAATAATAAGATTGGTCCGCATCAAAAATACAAAATATTTTTTGTATAAAATTCTATAACCATTCAACTGCAAAAATGCATTTTGAGTTCACTGTATAAAAAAACAACACAATAGCATACTGATCCACACCAACAAGGCTAAAATGTACTTAATCCAAGAACAGTTAGCATCAAACTGCTTCAGTACTTATGAACAGTCTAAATCCCTAAATATGTGAATTCATAAAAGGACCCGGAACATCATGGCAGATCACCTCAGTCATTAGACAGCAGAGATTGGTCCTCAGGAAAACAATGAAACCAATTCAAAAGCCATGATGGACAACTCCGAGGGAAACTATTCCAGGAGACAACCCCTCTGCTCGGCCTCACATTAACTGGTCAAACTGGCTCAGAGGATCCATGAGATGACTGCAGTTATCTGCTGATGCAATCACCAAACCCCCAAAGATCAGATGGATTGCAGCTGAAAGCAGGTTAGGATCTGGGCGTGTCTTCTCCAGCTCAAATTGCATTCTCTGGCAGGAGAAGCATTGTGAACACCACTGAAGAGGACGGCAGGTGGAGAAGACCAGTCATAATTAAGAACACTAACCTAACCTGCATTCAGCACTTAACATAAGAACAATACAAGTTCACCTGACCCCACCTATCCTTACACATGAGGAAATGCTTTCAGCTGCTAAAATAAGAAAAGGTGAAGCCCACACCTACTGACAAAGAGGAGGAAGACATGGCGCTGTGCTACACTGTCAAGCAACTATAGTCACATGCACCATAGTATCACAGGATTTTCGCCCTCAACAAACAAAGGGCATTGATCCAAACAGAAAAACAAAACTGCTGGGGAGACACGTTTTCGACCAATTCACTGCAAAAAATGTCTGGGCACAATTAATGTAATAAAAAGGCAGTTTATGCAGCGGTTAAATGTGGAATGATCCGGGATCACCCTGGCATGCTCAGACTGGTGGGCCTCTATTGTGCGCTTACAGGTCTCTGTATGGGGCGGAAAGAGACAGAGAGGATGGATATTATGTGGGAAAAACAAAAATGCTTTGCTGGGCAACTAAGCAAAAAGTATCCAATTCATTATTTCCCTTTGAGAGCTGTCAGGGCTCCGGGGCCAGCTGATCGGCCGTCTCTGGCAGGGAGACCTGCAGCAGGGCATTATGATTTGTGTGTGTGTGTGTGTACTTTCGCTCAAACCCGGTCCGGGCTTTTCTCTAGATGTGTACATTCAAAAAGACAGGGACAAACGTGTTTTACACAGCTGTGCTACATTAAGTTTCAACATTTCCTATTAACACGTCATGTGAATGTGCTGAATATGACTTTTTTTT